GGATGGGATGGGCTCAGGAGGGATGGGATGGGTTCAGGAGGGATGGGATGGGCTCAGGAGGGATGGGATGGGCTCAGGAGGGATGGGATGGGTTCAGTGGGACGGGATGGGCTCAGGAGGGACGGAATTGGATCAGGAGGGACGGGATGGGTTCAGGAGGGACGGGATGGGCTCAGGAGGGATGGGATGGGCTCAGGAGGGATGGGATGGGTTCAGGAGGGACGGGATGGGTTCAGGAGGGACGGGATGGGCTCAGGAGGGACGGGATGGGTTCAGTGGGATGGAGGCGGGCCCAGCCCCTCCCAGCTCACCTCGCAGCGGCTCCGCAGGCCCCGCTCCTGCAGCCGGGACCAGATGCTCTGGATCCTCCCGGCGTGCTCGGGGTGGTTGCTGTTGTCCCCGCAGGAGCATTGGTGCTTCAGCATCACCGAATCGTAAACCAGCCCTGCCAGGCAAAGCCAGAGCTGCACCCCCAGTTCCTCTGCAGGGGGCTCCGAGACCCCAAATATTTACCAACATTTCCCCCAAACCATGGGAGATTCTGTCCCCAAACATGGGAGATCCTGCTCCAAACCATGGGAGATTCTGTCCCCAAACCTGAGAGATTCTGCCCAAAACCATGGGAGATTCTGCTCCAAACATGGGAGATCCTGCTCCAAACCATGGGAGATTCTGTCCCCAAACCTGAGAGATTCTGCCCCAAACCACGGGAGATTCTGTCCCCAAACCTGAGAGATTCTGCCCAAAACCATGGGAGATTCTGCTCCAAACATGGGAGATTCTCCCCCAAACCTGTGAGATTCTTCCCCAAACTCCAGGAATGCAGCCAGGGCCAGGTGAGCAAACCTGCCTGGAAAAGCCCCCCAAGACAAGGAGAAGGATTCCCCCACCCTCCCCGGGTCTCTCCTGGCGCTCCCAAATCCGGGATGCCCAGGATGGAAGTGCAGCCTCCCGGGACACCCCCAGGTCCCCTCCTGTCCCCGCCTGGGGTGACAGCCCCGCAGGTGCGGCCATACCTGTGGTGAAGTGCGGCTGGGGCGGCTGCTCCTGCACGGGCAGGGCCAGCGCCTTGGTGTCCTGGGCAGGGAGGGACACGGTGGCCGTGGCCGGGGACGACTGAGCCCTGGACAGCGGCCGGTGGCCGGGGGGGAGCACGGGGGGGTCGGCCAAGGGCTGGCGCTTGAGGAGCTGCTGCTGCACCCGCTGGAAGGAGTCCCAGAGCAGGGCCTGGGGACACAGGACACCCTCAGGGGACAGGCCAGTGTCCCCAGCACGGGGGACAGGGGACAGAGCCCTGCTCGGCGTGTACAGGGCTGGATCCAGCGGCTGTGCCAGCCTCAGAGCTGGGACAGGACAGGAGAGGATGGGACAGGATGGGACAGGACAGGATGGGACAGGATGGGACAGGATGGGACAGGACAAGCAGGACAGGACAAGCAGGACAAGCAGGACAAGCAGGACAAGCAGGACAGGCAGGACAGGACTGTCCCAGCATCTGCTGTTCCTTGCCGGCTCAGCCCTGCAGTGACAGCAGCGATGGGACACAGCCCGGCAATTTGGGGACAAACCCCAGCAATTTGGGGACACAGCCTGACAATCTGGGGACAAACCCCAGCAATTTGGAAACAACACCTGGCTGTGCTGACACCAGTGGTGACTGCAGCTCTGCCCCCCAACCACAGGAGATTCTGCTCCCAAACCTGGGAGATTCTGCCCCCAAACCTGGGAGATTCTGCCCCCAAACCTGGGAGATTCTGCCCCCAAACCTGGGAGATTCTGCTCCCAAACCTGGGAGATTCTGCCCCCTAACCTGGGAGATTCTGCTCCCAAACCTGGGAGATTCTGCCCCAAACCTGGGAGATTCTGCCCCCAAACCTGGGAGATTCTGCCCCCAAACCTGGGAGATTCTGCCCCTAACCTGGGAGATTCTGCTCCCAAACCTGGGAGATTCTGTCCCCTAACCTGGGAGATTCTGCCCCTAACCTGGGAGATTCTGCCCCCAAATCTGGGAGATTCTGCCCCCAAACCTGGGAGATTCTGCCCCCTAACCTGGGAGATTCTGCCCCCAAACCTGGGAGATTCTGCCCCCTAACCTGGGAGATTCTGCTCCCAAACCTGGGAGATTCTGCCCCCTAACCTGGGAGATTCTGCTCCCAAACCTGGGAGATTCTGCTCCCAAACCTGCAAGATTCTGCCCCCTAACCTGGGAGATTCTGTCCCCAAACCTGGCAGATTCTGTTCCCAAACCTGGGAGATTCTGCTCCCAAACCTGGGAGATTCTGCCCCTAACCTGGGAGATTCTGCCCCCAAACCTGGGAGATTCTGCCCCCTAACCTGGGAGATTCTGCCCCCAAAGCTGGGAGATTCTGCCCCCAAATCTGGGAGATTCTTCCCCCAAATCTGGCAGATTCCACCCCAAATCTGCGAGATCGTCCCAGGCGAGGCACAGCGCGGTCCCGCGTCCCCAGCCCTCCCGTACCTGCTGCAGGAGCAGCTCCTCCGGGGGCTGCCCCATCTTCTGCGTCCTCTCGGGCTCCTTGGCGCTGCTGCCGGGCCGGGGGGGCTCCGCCCGTGCCCGGCTGGGGTCCCCGGGCTCGGCCTCCGGGAGGGTCCCCTCGGCCTCCATGTCCTCCGAGGAGGGGATCTGCCGCAGCCGCGGCTTCTCGCTGGGCTTGGCCGCGCGCTGCGCCGGGGACAGCGAGCGGGGCGTGAGAAATGCATTTCTAGAAAGTTCTTCACGCCTAACGAACGGCTGACCGCGTGTATGTTTGTGCACAAACTTCTATTTGTGTATCTATATATGAATATATGCTGAGGGGACAGCGAGCGGGGCGTGAGAAATGCATTTCTAGAAAGTTCTTCACACCTAACGAATGGCTCAGCGCGTGTATGTTTGTGTATTAACTTCTATTTGTGTATCTATATATATGTATATATGAATATATGCTGAGGGGACAGCGAGCAGGGCGTGAGAAATGCATTTCTAGAAAGTTCTTCACGCCTAACGAACGGCTGACAGCGTGTATGTTTGTGCACAAACTTCAATTTGTGTATCTATATATATGTATATATGAATATATGCTGAGGGGACAGCGAGCGGGGCGTGAGAAATGCATTTCTAGAAAGTTCTTCAC